AGGACACTGGGTTTAGTCAGCCTGAGGAAAGAGGGCTCAGAGGAGCCTCACTATTGACTTCAACTGTCTCATGGGAGGGTGTCCTGGTTTTGCTGGGATAATTTTCTTCTCCTCAGTAGCTGGAATAGCTGTGGTTTAGGTTCAGTGTGGGATTTGTTATGAGAAGAATGTTGATAAAGTCCTAATGTGATCAGTTGCTGCTGGAGCCCAAGGCCGTCGTTTTTGGCTGGTTCACAGCTGCATTAGGACTGGGAGGGAGAAGTGTAGTAATTAGCAAAACCCCAAATTGGCATTTGGATGTGCCAATGAGATATTCCAGATCATGTCACGTCATGGTCAGTGTATTAACCAGGGTTGACTGGAAATTGGGGGGATTCTCTCGGCTCTTCCTGGGTTTCAGTTTCAGGACTGTCTGTGCTCCGGGATCGCTGGCTGGGACAGGCTGGGCATCAGTTGGCGGGTGGTGAGCAATTGCACTGGGCACCACTCATTTGTACATTCTGTTATTACTGCTGTTGTCATTATAATTTTATTTCAATTAGTAAATTGTTTTTATCTCAACCTGTGAGTCTCCTTGCCCTTGTCCTTCCAATTCTCTCCCTTAGTCCCTGGGGTTGGAGAGTGAGAGAGCAACTGTGTTTGGCTGCAGCCAAAGGAGTGAAACCACCGCAGAGGGCTACAGAGATGGAGCTTTCGCCAAAGTGCCCAGTGAGAGGACGAGAGGCAGCGGGCACATGGGGCTGCAAAGAAAACTCCCATTAGACAAAGGACAAACACTGATGAGAGTGGTGCAGCACTGGGACAGGGCCCAGAAATGGGGTGGGATTTCCATCCTTGGAGACAGCGCTCACTTGAACAAGATCCTGAGCAACCTCCCCTGGCCTTGGAGGCAGCCCTGCTGTGGGCAGAGGGGGGACAGAGACTCAGGAGGTGCCCCCACCCCACAGCTTCCCATGATCCCATGAGCTCAGCACGTTTGAGGCAGAAGCAGAATACCTGCCTGAGCTGCCACCACCACCAGCCGCTTGCACAAGGGCGAGCGCAGTGCAGCTCTTGTGCAAAGGGGCAGAGCTGGTGGGTTTCAAAGCCATTATCTGTGTTCTTCCTCCACAGCTCACTGGTTAGAAGAGGATAAGGATTTTTCAAAGGCTAGTGAGGCAGTTAGTGCCTATCTGTGCTGATAATTGCATTTCACAATTAGGAACTTACTTAATTGCTCTCCAGACTCTTTCAGAAACCATGAAAGTGGGAGGTTTTGCGAGAAGCTTTGTCTCTTGAATGGTGACTTTCCCCAGAGACCGTGACCCTGCTCCCAGATCATGGTGTATGGAAAAGGTCATGCACCTGGGTGAGCTTTCTGCTGAGCATCAACTCAAGTGCCAAGCCCTGATGCTCACCACCTTCAGCAGCAAAGGAGAGCCCACGTGCTGCTCCTTTAGAGTAAGGAAATAAAGAGTATGTCGATGCAAGCAACAGCACCTCAAAGCAGAGATGTGCCATTGCCCAAGGAAGTTGTGGATGCTCCTCCCTGGAAGTGCTGAAGGCCAGGCTGGATGAGGCTTTGAGCAACCTGGTCTAGTGGAAGGTGTCCCTGCTGCTGGCAGGGGGGTTGGAACTGGATGAGCTTTAAGGTCCCTTCCAACCCAAACCAGTCTGGGATTCTGTGATTCTATTCACCTGGGATAAAGCACAGCAACTAAAAGCAGAGGGTGCAAAGCAGGACATCTAGATTATATTTGCATTTTACTTTGCTTTTTTTTTTGTTTCTTGTAGTCTTTTGCGTTTAGCTACCAAAGCCTGAAGGTCATAAACCTTTCTCAAGGAGATTTCTCTCAGCTTTGCTGTAAAGCCTGCTTGGTGTTGGGGAACCAACTGAATTAGGGTGACTTCACTAAATGTTGAGTCAGTCAAAATCTGAGGGTCAAAATCTGCTGGGAGGCAGCCCAGCACATGCCTGGGGAGCAGAGAGACAGCATGGACCTTCTGGTCACAAGGGCTCAGCACCAGGAGCCAGTGAGCCATCCTGCAAGCACCAGCTGCAGACACGACCTCCAGCAAGCACCTCTGCAGACCTCAAAATGTTACAGCCGCTGCTTTTCTTCCTCAAGAGTTTTGTTCTTCAGCTCATCCCTTGATGAACTGATAAAAGCAACGACAGTTTCTTTCAAAAGACCTTAAACAACTCACTTGGGAAACTCCAGCTGGTAAATTCAGTTAGAATGGCAACCAACTTCCTCCACGGCAGGGCAAGCTGAAGATAAATTACTGGGTCACTGATGACTTTCATCGCTTAAGCCTTCTTCAGAAGTCATGGAAACTCCTTCCAGCATTCACAGCTGCAGCAACTTTCTTACTTCAAAGCTTTCAGCCTGTCCTTGCCCTGACTCCTGTCCAGCACAGGAGACAGTGGTTCATTGTAGTATCTCCTGAAACATTTCTCTTCAAGGTGCAGCAGCTTCCTGACCAACTCCCTCCTGTCAGGGGAATCCTGCAAAATCCCCAGAAAAGCCCACAGTGACTTTTGCCACCTTGGCCGAATTCCCAAAGGACCAAGGTACAGAACTGCTACTCCACACAACTGACCCAACCTTTACACACCAGTGGCTTCCACAGAGCCCCAGTAACACCGCAGATCACAGTTTCAAGTACCCACATTTCCACTGATGGGACTGTGAGGCATCAACTACTCAATGAGTTGTAAGATCAAGGTGCAGAGCCAAGACCTGTGGTCTGACCTCAGAGCTTCTGGGGTTTCCTTATTTTTCCCTCTTCTAGCCCAAGTATATTGAAGCCTCTAAAGAACATCATCCAGCTGGACGAGAGGGGAAGACCACCTTTTTTCTTCTCCTTTCTTGGGGTCAGATGCCACAGACAGCAGCTTTGCTCAGTTCCAGACGTCTTCTAGGTAAACAGGCAGAAAACCAGCAACTCCTAGGAAGGCTGGAGGAAAGCTCAGTCTGTCTCCAGCATCTCCACCCCTCTTTTGCCAGATCAGAGACCACACATGGTTGAGGCCCTGCAGAACTGAGCAGCTAGAGCAGGTCCCTACAGGAGGATTGGACATGAAGTAGCCCCAGCCTCGTGTGTCTGCTGTGGTGGCACTACAAAAATCAACACTAATAAAAACAGCAGTTTTGATAATACACGTTTAGACTTTTGCGTAGGGCAGCAGTCAACAGAACAACCCCAAACCCCCAAGCAAAGCCTCTTCTCCAGGCACAGCACTGACTCAGGGCTCCAAGCAGGAGGCTGTTAATCTCCTGGGTAAGAAACATGGGAGAAGACCCTTGTAACAACCTCTGGGCAGCTGCTGGCAGTGCTTGGACAGGTCCTGCTGGCTGGACAGGACCAGTCACTGCTGGCACAAGATGTGCCTGGACTCTCTGGAAGTTGCATCAGATGTTTAGGAAGCCTGCAAGTGGACTGTGGATTCCATCTACAAGATTGTTGTGGTGGGGTTGGTCTCTGTTGGGACCATTTGTGCTGACAAAGCAGATTAACATCCCAGTCTATCACCTGAGCATGGCAACAGCTGAGTCAGAAGACACAGTAACTGCAGAGAGTTGGTCTATTCCAGACAACCTGCCCTGCCAGCAGAATCATAGAATCCCAGACTGGTTTGGGTTGGAAGGGACCTTCAAGCTCATCCAGTCCCAACCCCCCTGCCATCAGCAGGGACACCTTCCACTAGACCAGGTTGCTCAAAGCCTCATCCAGCCTGGCCACAAACACTTCCAGGGAGGAGCAGCCACAGCTTCTCTGGCCAACCTGGGACACTGTCTCACCACCCTCACAGCAAAGAATTTCTTCCTCACATCTCATCTCCATCTCCCCTCTTCCAGTTTCAAGCCATCACCCCTTGTTCTGTCACTCCCTGCCCTTGGCCAAAGTCCCTCCCCAGCCTTCCTGGAGCCCCTTCAGGTAGCGGAAGGTTGTGAAGCCAACATATGCAGATCTTCTCCATAGGTATGTGCTCCCAGCCTGGCTTGAAGGTGGCTCACTGTGGAGGAGCCAATTAAAAAAAGGAAAATGCCAAAGCACCTGACACTTGAAAAGTAAAAGCTGTACTTCTAACAAAACTCACCACTCATCTCCTTAATTTTTGCTCTTTTCTAAAGGGAATGAAACCCTGTGGTCTGGATGTAGCCACCACACCTGCTGTGGCTTTCACTGCTCTGTTACACGGACACAATGGGGAAGTGTCAGTGCAGCCGTACAGCCCAGGTGCTCCTGGCAGCCCTGGGCCCAGCAGCCCTCCCTGCTGAGCTGTGGGCCCTCTGCAGAAGGTGTTACCATCAGGAGAGTCACTTCAGCCCCATGCCCTTCACTTCATATCCAGGAGCACCCACATGCAGGTCACACCAAAGAGCAGAGAACAGAACTGCGGGAAGGAATCTGGGTGTGGGGGTCACCCCGGGCTCAGTAGCATCCACAGTGAAGGTCCAGTGCCCAGATCCAGGGGAGGGTGAGGTTGGCCATGAGGAAAAGGTTCTTGAGGCAGAGGGCGGTGGAGCACTGGAACAGGCTCCCCAGGGAGGTGCTCATGGCACCAAGGCTGACAAGATTCCAGCAGCATTTGGCCAAGGCCCTCAGGGACACGGTGTGAATGTTGGGATTGTCCTGTGCAGGGACAGGAGTTGGACTGGATGATCCTTGTGGGTCCCTTCCAACTCACAACATTCTATGACTAACGCTGCATGAAGCCACCCAAGCAGTGGAGCAGCGCTACCTGCACGTCCAGCCGAGGTCTGGACATGGTACAGCTGTGCTGGGGCAGAGGGTAACGCTGTGTAACCGCACCTCGGTGCGCTCTCCTCCAGGAACAGGGCTCTGAAACAGGAGAGGCAAAGATGTTTCACTCCTAGAGAAGGCAGCTTGCACCATGATCACAGGAAAGTTCGGGCCCTACAGGAACTGCTGAGGAACATCCTCAAGGTGCAAGTGATTGGTATAATTTTCCCTCTGCCCCCCACCCCAGAAGAAGTATCACTGAATCTTTTGCTTTTTTAAGGAAAATGTATTTTTGTGAAAATAGACTTTATTATAATAAAATTTGATATTAAATAAAAACATACCGTATCACCAGCACTCGTGGACACTGTGCTGGCATCATTCACATACCTCACACATAACTGTCCTTCTCAAAACATGTACCCCACTGAAACATGCAAAGAAAGAAACACTGAAAGGATAGAAACCATGTGGTACAAAACTCTCCGTGGCTTAGAAAGGGATGTGTCTTAACTCAAGGAACACATCATCTCCTATGAAAACAGCTGCAAACTCTCCATCCCCAGCTCTGCTCTCCAAATGCTCCAACTCAGGAGCAGCCCACTGAAACAGCCAAACAAAACTGCAAAAGAGGCAGACAAAAAAGGAATGAATGAATGAATGAATAAATAAATAAATAATAAATAAATAAATAAGGCGGAGTCCTCAGCCAGTGCGTGGTCGAGGTGAACCAGCCAAGAGCAGCTCACAGCAGCCCACCCCACAGGCAGAAGTATCGACCCTCTTCAGGGTATTGCTCCTTCCTCCACGGGAATCCTCGCGCTGAAACATGACCGAGGCAGTGTGGGATGCTCCTAGGCACAGCTGCATATTTACAGGTTTACAGTACAAATAACTCACTTGTCAGCCCAGAGACAGCAAAAGGGATTCATGGGAATGGAAAAGTGCAAATTTTCTTTGCAGGAAGTGAAGGAGTTGACACAACCTCCTTTGGACCAGAGAAATACCAGGGTGTGTAGTACAAGGGAACACTTCCTAAGGGGTTTTGCTGGGAAAAGTCATTTAGCTAACTTACAGCCAGAATATAATCTTTAAATGATAATATTTACAGGGAACCGGTGCATTGAGGGCTGCATGGAGCAGGACACACTACTGTGGAGGTAGCTGTATCCTAGAGCTGAGGCCTCACACACCCCAGTGCCATGACACTGTGTTCAGAGCCACTGCCCACGCTGGCTGGGCAGCCAGGGCTGGGTTCTCAGCAGAGACCACAGCTCACAGACCCACTGAAGAGTTTTCTCTATTCAACATACACTTTTTCCCTATCAAAGTACTCTAATCAGCTTATTGCAGAGGGCTCCTCCCGAATTCTCAGTCCCTGTGTGGACTGCACAGGCAGTCTTTACAGAACAGTAAATCCCTTGTTAATTTTTCTTACTGGACCCAAGTTTTTTGAAGAGTTTTTTTCCTTTGAAGAAGAAGCCTCTCTTCTTTTTACTCTGACCAGGTACATCACTGCATTTGAGAACGGCCAGCGATGCCAGCTCTGGACACTGCTCGCCCATGACAAGGCAGGAAGGTGGTAGAGTAGGAGGAGTTGGTGAGGAGTCACTCTGATCAACAGACCCATCTGGACTTAACTGAGTGGGAAAAAGAGGAAAAAAAAAAAAAGAAAAAGAAAAAAGTAGAAGTTAGAGCTGATGAAGGACATCACACCAACATAAACCTCATCCAGAGAACCCTGCCTTCTCCCCGCCAGCCTGTCCCTCACCCTGCACGGCTTTGCTCCTCTGCAGCTGCAGATCCAGTGAGGAAGGTTCCAGTGGATTTAAACTTTTTTGTTTAAAATCCACTAGCCAGACCTTGCCTGAGTTCAGACATTCCAAAATTCCTTAACTTTGGGCTAAGAATAGGACAGCAGAAAAGCCCCATGGAGGACTTGGTGAAAGATGCTGCTTCACAGCTGGAGACACTCTAAGTGAAGCACCTCCTGAGAGCATCCTGACAGATACTGATGCATCCACGTGTGCCTGCTGGTTGCCTGGGCCAGGGGAGCCTGGTGGACTCCCAGCACAATCCAGGACAGAAGGCAAGAAATTAAGAAAAAAACCAACCTAACAAGAACAAGGGCTGTGCAAGACCTTCAGAAGTTCAAGGAGGCTGGCTAAACTGGGAGGCTTCTGCAACAGTGGTCATGCCCTGTCATGGTAAGAAGAGAAATGTGGAGTCTTGCAAGACTGCTCAGCACCCATCAGATCTAGTCAGAGGAGGGGCAGAAAGCGAAGTCTGATGCTCTGCAGCAGTACCAATAGTGGAGGAAAAGTTAATGATGGAGCAGGACATGGAGAAGTCTTGGAGCAAGTAGCACACAGCAACTGGCACATGATCCTAAGTCACCTGAGCATTTGATAACATTAAGAAGGATCCACAGTCCCAAATGATGCACAGGATGCTGCTCCTTCTGGAAAGGGCTTTTAGAAATCAGAAAGTACCCTAGTCCTGGGCTCAGTGTCCTCTTCACAAAGTACTAATGGCAGGTCTGTTCCCAGCAGCAGCCTGCTTCCCATGATCTCCTCTCACTGAGTTTAGCTGTCTGCACAGTGACCATTTCTGATCTGGCAGGAAAAGCTTTCCCAGGAAGCTCCAAGTTCACCAGGGAAGAGGCTCTGGGTTTCTGAGGCCTCGGAGAGCTCTTGTCCCACTGCCTTCTCTTCCACAAACCAGCATCTTCCATGCTCCCAGCTGTACATCCTATCTTGGCATTACCCAAAACACAACATGACAGTGGCTGGAGCTGAAACATCGTGCCCTCATCATTTCTCTGCTTGGGTCTCACTAAATCAGGGAGAGTCGAGTGCATTTAAGGGTCTGTAATCAGCCACAGCTCCAACAGGGAAGATGAGTTAGTGACAGCGGCAGCAGGATGCTGTGCCTGGGGTGGAAGCATGGACTGAAGAGCAAAGACATCAGCCCTGCACAGGGAATGTGTGAATCACAGCAGCTGCTTGCAGGTTGCTGGAGGAGGGGATGTGCTTTGGTCCTGGTCCCACACTGCGCCCAGGGAA